GCCAAATCTTTGGAATAAATTGTGAAAAATCCACTTCCGAAGATCATAGGAAAGATAATAGAAATACTCATAATATCGGCTTGGAGAATGGAACTGTTATCGAGAAATTTTTAGCCCTTTCTTGAACTATAGAAATTTCTATGCAATATTTGCTTCTTCGTTCAGATATTTTACCGGGTATTTCTCATGAATTAGAGTAAGACTATGTTAGACTATGTTAGTGTATGAACGGCAACAGCACAGAACTGGAAGAAGTCGTTCACAATCGAACTCGGCGTGCTGGAACGGTTGACCGAGAGGGATTGGCTCTTAATCCCAGTCCCCTCACTCCCGAATATTTATTTCCGTCTAAGTGGGTTCCAGTCCTCTTTCCTAATTTTCCACTTCCGAATACCTGTTCACACAGCACCACTATCCGATATGTGACGCTCCACTTTCGAGATCGGCGCGGCAGAGCTTCGCTACGTTACAGACACCGATCTTATGGCTCTTGTTTTCGTACTGGCCCAAAAGCTGCCCGGTATAGTGTTAACATAGCCCAATGGGCGCCTTTCTTCAGTCCAAAATTGGCTTTTCCTTGCACTGCACTCCCTTACTGGCAAAAATCTTATAACAAGATCAACCATATTAAACAACTTTACAATCACTGTACCAACTCTAGCCCAGAGTCATTCTCACGTAAATACAAGTACTTTTTGTTTTATTCTTTTGTTTACTTCTTCATCGCCTTGCCCTAAGGATCAGTTTGCCGTTTCATATTTTTCTACAAGTTTAATTGTACTGATCCAGGTCTACAACTGGGAGATCCGGCACCACTCATTGGTTTGTTGCTGTGGACTTGCTGACATATTTTATATATATACACGGTAGCCGTTTTCATCATCATCGGTCGACCGATGGAACAGTCGACTGTAAGTCGTCTTCAACTGAATCGGTCTTGGGCAGTGCGTACAATTTCATCACCTGAGAAATGGGGGTTCTTCTCCCGTGAAAGGGCTTTGCTGACCGCAGGAAGGGGAATAGGAATGGTATGTACGCGGAGATTTTCGTTTTTTTTCGGAAGACTTTTTTTTTTACCCGCGACATTAACCCCAGCCTGTGTACAGACGTCCCCCCTCCCTCAGAAAAAATCGGGAGAAGAGACTCTTCTCCCGATTTTTTCTGAGGGAGGGGGGACGTCTGTACACAGGCTACATTAACCCACACCCACGACCCACGACCCACGACCTCTACCCGTGACCCACGACATTTAGCTACACTGACAGGTCTTATGCATGTTCAACTTGACAACACAAAGCATAATTTACAATTTATCTCTTAGTGCACGAAACGATCAAGTTTAAAAACAATCTATAGTTGCTTGAAACCGATTTTACTAGATAAATATTGACTCCCTTTCTGCTCACATGTCGAAGACAAAACTTGACATAGAGGATTTTGTTTATATTTCAGTGATCTGCGAAGCTACAAGTGTCCGATCGAGCGTAGGTTTAAAATATCAGCTTCAAAAGGTGACAAAGTTCCACGCTGAAAGTTCAGCGACTTCAAACACAATGTGGGCATGCGTTATTTTTTTGGGCAAATCACTGTATAAAGATATTTTGTTTTGCGTCCACAGTGGGGTTCTGGACCTTATATATGCAGGAACAGGAACTTCCTTATACGAACACATTTTGTGAATGCACCTTGAAAAAATCGGATCTACGCATGGACATTTCCAGCACAACGCAAGGAAATTAATGTCGTTAAAGTTCGTTTTACTATGAGGTATTCTTCGAGAAAATTAAGTAATGAGAAGGTTATGACCACAGCATGCAACGTTTGAAGACAAATTGCTTGTTCTTTCTGGGTTAAGAGGGGAAACGTTTTAGTGTTAGGCAAAATATTTGAAATCCCGCCATTTTTTCAAACCCGGCCAGGGGAACTGGGCAAAAAAGAGAACGCATGCTCATTACGTTTTTTCCGCCCTGAAGTCAAAAGTTGGCGGGAATCTGTTGTCACAGATTGCCAAGATGGCGGATAGATCGTTTGCTGATCTGTTGTGCTGCCTGTCACTGCTGCGATTTATAGAATTGGCGAAGAAAAACCAGTAATGCGTGAGCAGGTCAATGCGTTGGTCCTTTGAAATGGGAATCAGGGGCGAAAGCGACTAGATGTTGTTTGATATTATTCTTCCAGTTAGAACGGTGTTTATAGGTGATTGCTCTACGAGTTGCTTGATTAAAACTCATTGTCTTCAGGCAAAAATCAGGGGAAAATTGACGACTTTCATATTTTTATTAATATCTCTACTGGTATTTACAGCAGTGTTTCAAGCTTCATCCCATTTGAAAGAGGGATAAATTAGCTCTATAAAAATGATTAATTTCTCTCCATACATTCAATACAGTTTTCAAAAACAAAATTCAATTATGAGAAAATTTGCATAATTTATGCAAAAAATCCAAGATGGACGCCATTTAGTACAAAATGAAGTGTCTTTACATGATATGTTAAGAAGTTGTTACTTTAAATCCAGGCCAATTGCATGCCAAATTTCCCTGAAAGTAAGCAAATGAACAATTTTTTACAGATTTTTTTCAACACCCACTCTATTTAAGAAAAAATGGGAAGAAAATTGTTCATTCAACTTTCTGCACTGTTTGGGATAAATTGACGTGCTCCTAGCGAGCGTGCTGAAATTTTTGCATTATATCATTAATAAGGTAATCGGCTTCATTTATAAAAAATCTACAATTTCGATTGGAGTCGGACACAGAGAATTTTGAAACTGCTCGTATCCGGCTGCTGAGGGACATATAGTGTTAGTGTAAGTTATTCAGGCAAATATCCGGACGACATCTAATTTGTGACTTTTTACCGCTAGTAAAAATACTTAAGCTTCCTGAAATTTTGTGAAAGTTCTGACATGCCAGAAACAATTCCTATCCTCGTACACTAGTAAGCCTACATCTCTAAACGACAACCCTCGACAGATACTATTTTTTAAAACTTTCACTGCAATAAAGCCGCTAGGCTAAAATCAACTTTTCTTCACACAACGATACAACTTCCGATAAACCTCGACAAACAGATATAGAGAACTTTCCTTGAACTGCTATTCCAGAAACAACTTTCCCTCGTACCTTAACACTTTTTAAAATGGACAAGCCGGCCTCGACGAAAAGATTTAAGAGAACGTAATTTTCCCGAAATCAAGCCACTACGCAAGAAAATTAAGAAAAGAAAAAGAAAATTATCAATTGAAACTGCCGAAATATATTTCTTCTCATATCATGTTATTCCACTCAATAAAACAATATCTAATTAGTGTCAACTAGCTTCTTCCAATTTTATTCCCTAACGCAACTGTTTCTACTATTCTCGACCCCAGTACTTACGGGTTTGGGAATGCGCAGAAGAGCTCTGAATCGAGATTGCTCTTCGTATATGAAACGAGTTAAATGAAAGGAGTTAATGAAACGAGTAACGTTTTTTTTTTTGCGCATGTGCTGCTGCTGGGATACAGTTTCGAACCCAGGCCTAATAGCCGTGCGCTTGGTAAAGAGGGCTCCTTTACGACCATTGTTTTTATCAATAAACGGATGCTGGCACTCAGAAAACCAGTTCGAAGAGGTAGAACAAGATTGGCTTGTCCAGAAGTTCGGGCTTCGATGACTTCACAGGCTTGACGTGATTGAGGTAGAGCGTGCTTTCCTCCTCCACATTGAAGAAGATAGAATGAGGTTTCGTTCGAAGGGCGGATGATTACATACCCACGGACCAAAAATACAACAACAAACGAACTAAGAAAATAAGAATATGATTTTTTTGGCAGAAAGACTCAAACGCCCGAGGCTTTTGGTTGGTTTATCCCAACTGTAAAAAAAAAACAAGATTGCTGAAAAGCAATTTTCTATATATAACTTTAGGCAAAAGAAACTGGGTTTTATAAAAAGCACTTACGGACCCATTTTAAATTTCAAAGATTGATAAGGCCTTGCCTAAATCACCTCTGTTTTCGTCTCAACAATTGGGTGCTTAGAGAATCAAGACGGCAACGGCAGCGAAGACGACACTTTAAATAAAGGTGAATTCGAGCTGTTTCAAACTTTATTACTCTTATTCCATTCATTCCATTCTGCCAAATGTTGGGAAATTTTCTAGAGTTGATTCTGGAGGACTGTTTTTACGTTCTAGAATAAGAATAAGATAATTGTTGTCCTGTGTTCACAACCTCCATGAAAATGGTGAAACTAAAGCCTGGTTTCCATATGATCGCTACTATCGCTGTGATCGCTGCGATAGCTGAGACAAATAAGTTCAGCTATCGCAGCGACAACGATCGCTGAGATAGAAAAAGTTCTCACCTATCGTTGTCGCTGTGATCGCTGCAATTGCTACGATCGCTGGAAAGTGGTTTCCGTATGATCGCTATGATCACTGCGATCGCTGAATTTTTTTTTCCTCGGCAATGGCAGCGATCACAGTGATCGTAGCAATCATATGGAAACCGGGCTTAAGAAGTTTCACGTTGTAGTCGTACAACAACGGCAAAAAAAATTGTATAAAAAAACGTGATGCACATGCAAAGTTGTTGTTTTGCTAATCTAAACCTATTAATTTTCTGCCGTTCTCCGGTCCCCATCGTCGTTGTTTCAGCTCCTGAAAAACACACAGCGAAAACTAAGCGTCCATAAGAGAGGTTTGGCGTGGTCTTAGACATTTCATATCAGCCAATTAAACACTGGCCTATAGCTAGACTGATCCGTTTTCGTCCCCATGCTATACCCAGACTTGTGTCTTGTATCCTTTTTTGTTGATCTTCATTCGGCCATACGTGATTGGCTATATATGATGTCCGCGTTTTTAAAACAACTTCGGTTTATTTTTACCCGTTCCCCTTGGTGGGCCTTTCCAAACACCTCCCTGATATCCAAAACCTCCATTTTTTAACTGTCTTGGTGTGGAAGCAACGCCAAAATGCGTAAAATGCACGTGTGAACGCGGAGTCTAAGCTGTCACGCAGATTTCGAAGTCAAGAGAAGTTCTTGAAGCCTCGTTTGTGCACAGTCAGCTGTTAATCGTGCCTCGGGGTCTGGGTCCCAACATTCTTCTACGGTCTGGCAAAATAGAGCTAAGCCCTGATGAAGAGAGAACATACATACGTATTTTCTACTGTTAATTTTTTTAATGCTATGCAAGCAATAAAAAGACATGAAACGGTTTAGTCTTTCTGCTTGCCCATGCATGCGATGTGAACAACCCATATCATATTAAAGGTTCATGAAGAGTAGCGTAAAATCTTCAGTCTTGACAAAGTGGGCAAGCGTGACAGGGGCCTCATGGAACTCTCCATTCAGGAAAATCGCTTTGCTGGTTGGTCACGCCTCTAGGCTAGAGCGGCTGAGACGCAAGACTGAAAGACACCAATGAGCAAACTAGGGTCCCCCATCGTCATATGACGGGGAACATATGTATGTGCAGACTAAACTAATCTTAGAAACTCTTGCTCCTAGTCAACTAACCTCGTGATCATTCGAGTTGTTTGGAAGGTGGGGTCTGCAATTCTTTGCCACCACAACATCCAGCATATTACTCAATGTTGCATTTTCAACAACAAAATCCTCAAAGGGCAGATAATAATGCTTTTCGCTATCTGGAACAGAGAAGGGGAGAAAGACATTCAAAATTGACCACGACATTATCGTTACATTTAGTTTAACACGAGCTGGTACTAAATCAAACACGAGTCTAGATATAAAAAAGGTAGGATTGTAAGAAAAAGATAAATGGCTCGGCAAATGTCACTGAAATGTGTTTTCTCAGGTCGGTTTTAATCGGCAAATTAGCTCGACGACTGAGGATTTGAGTGGAATTTCAACGGTCACCCAAACGTTACAAGAGGAGAACCTTATACCGAAAACTGCTAAACTCATCGACCTAAAAACTTGCATCTGCACCGTTTCCAGGAGGGGCCCAAGTTAGCATCACATACAAGAGAACTAACATTTTTGTGACATTCTGTAGAAAAGTCAACAGCATAGTTTTAAAAAAACAATTTTAGTTTTGTAGCTTTCGATTGTATCGCACACTCATCAGCAACAATGAACTCGAAAATGGTGCCCGTGTATTAGTCACGTGACAACAAAAAAGATTAATGACCGCGGGAAGTTCATAAACCCCTATCTCGCGCTAGCGTCTGATGTGGATGAACAACTCCTTGATATTTCTTTTAATGTCCACATGATCTCCTGAAAACTGAAACTGAAAACTTTATTTATACTCGAGGGTCTGGAGCTTATTAGGCTCCTAGCTTAAATAGCTAATGAGTCGACCAATTTTTGTTTGTTTTTCTTTACTTAACTTAAATTTGATAAATGTACATGATACGATATTGTTTACAGATAATGATTCTAAAAGGTACAATATTGACGATAGTCTAACAGTTACATAAAGAGCAGTTAATAAAGAGCAGTTAAAAGATCCTGGTCAAGGATCTTGATCCCTTCCCAGTAGATCTCATGGTTGGCTTTGGACTGGTGTTCCCAGATTGAATAACAAAATGTGATTGTACCTGTTACGTCACATTGTGAAATGACTTCCCACAGTACAAGGGCCATTGAATAGACATCCATTTGCTTAAATGTCTCAATGCTGTTGAGGCTTACTGTTGCTAGTAGCTCCTCTGGAGACATGTATCGATAAGTACCAACCTGCAACTGTAAGAAAAACAAGGTTAAGGTCGTAGATAATGAAAAGAATTAAGGTGAAATATACGGCAAACGGCAAATTCAAGTTAAAAATCAGTTTCTCAAATTAGAAAGCTTGTAGATTGAAACAGTCCAAAAAATTTGTTACAGACAAAACCAGAAAAAAAAAAAGAACAGTTAGAGGGTAATGTATTTGGTTTGCGTATGCACTAGTCTAAGATGAAGGGGTTTAATGAGTGGCCCAAAGGTGCCGGACTAAGTTTAAGCCTTGGTTATGAGCCAAATTTTAAGCAAAGTTTATTTGTCTGTAAACATGTAACCGATGCTTATAAAACACCGGCGGGCGTTACTGCTGTTTCGGATAACACGCGACCTGCGTTGTCAAAAACGTTTCGGGATTTTGGGTTTTTCTACGACGTCAATCAAACCGTTACCATAGCATCCACTATGTTTGTAAATAAAGGCGGCAATAACGAGCAGAAGCTGCAAAAGTAAACGTTGGCGGGACGGTACCGTTTCGTTTTGACCCTCCCATATCTGTGTTTCTTTTGGAGTTGGAAGCTCTATAGGAACAATCTAAACTTACCATGTTTCAGTATAAATAAGATGAAAAAAAATTTAGAGCTAAGGTAAAACTCGCTCCGCTTTTCAAAAACCCGCAACCGAAATGTGAAGTTTCAAAGGAACGAACCCAGAAACACACCAGTCACCAATAACAAACCAAGACGTTTTGTTTCCTAAGAGGTCCGCTAAGATGTGAAGGCGAGAAAGCGCCGATTCTTCAGAATTTGATTTTACGTCGCAGAAAAACCCCAAATCCGAAGACGTTTTTGGCATCGCGCGTAGCCTGCATAACAGGCGCTGTATGAGCCAAGCGAGGGGAACGCAGCATTTTCTCCTCCCCTCGTCTCGCGCTTCGCACTCGTTTCGCGCTTCGCTAATAAAGCGCCTGTTATGCAGGGTACATCGTAGGTCGCGTGTTATACGAAACAGCTGTAACTCCGGTAGATTCATTTATGAAAACACAAAATGATACTCTACACAATCTATGGGAAGGAAAATACGATCACGTGCAAAAATACTTTACTCTTGGATTAACGTTAAACGTCCTTTCAGAAACCGGTCTTTGCTCATGCAGAGTTGAATTCCAATAGATATTAACATTCATTCAGACTGAGGAAAAAGACTTACAGGAGGCGCTTACATTTTTGCTTGCGTCTTCAATGGAATCCAAGGACATTGCCAGGCCAAAATCTGAGATAACGCATGTTCCGTCAGTTTTCACTAAAACGTTGGTGCTTTTTAAATCTCGATGAGCTATGGGGACTTTCGACTCTGATTGACTTCTCTCAGAATGAAGATAGGCCACTCCATTTGTTATGCCACTTGCAAGACGAACAGCCTCACGCCATCTTAGTGCCCCTCTCTGGTGAGCAAATTTAAAACGAGGAAACTGATCGATATGCATGATTTTTCGTTCTTGACCTTGGATTAGTCTCAAGGCCCATAACAATTATATCACTGATGCTCTCCGAATGATTTCAGTCTTATCAGCAAGGACTGAGCCCAGTATTTTCACGTGATGCCTGTGTATTTAGTCACGTGACAATGACGATGCACCAACTCGCTTTACAGCACCTGTCAGCCTTAAAGGTCACCTTGATCAAAAATTCAAAATGTAGCTTCGGACACGAAACGTCTCGGCAGTCTTGCGCCTACGTCATCACATCTTTATTAAACGACTGCCTTTGAACATGTCACGTGAGAGCACCGAGCTCAGTCATTGAGATGCAGTCGAAAGATTCTGGAAGCTTCAATAACGTTATACTTTTTGTTGACCCAGAGGCTAAAGTTATTACACAAACATGGACACGATGTGTTACAGTAGAGTTCCAACCAGTACTGCTCCTGACATTTTTCTGCATTTCTGTTTTTGTAGTAAAAAATTACTTGAAATTTTTCCCTCATGATTAGTCTGTCATCAATTTTACTATTAGATGAGTGCTCTGATGGGAAAGTATCTCAACCTTATCACATGGCTCCCCGAAAAATGACCCATTTAATTTACCGCTAAAAGTTTCGTCTGAAAAAATCATTTTAGAGAAAGCATTTCCCTTTAAAAAACAGTTGTATTTTCATGAATGGCTTACAGATGAAGCCCCTCCACAATGAACAAAGAAAAACTAGCTACAGTTCAAGTTTGCATATTTGTCAGAGCTTCTTCTTGACTCTACAACAACAACAAGCTTTACTTGCATTACATAACAATACATGGAAGTACATACAAGTACATACAGTTTTGCACAAGCTATTTATAATTATATTTCAAGAATAAGAACTTAAAATTTAATCACAGGAGAATCAAACTACTTTGTCAAAGATTGGTCGCGAAACTCAAAGCAAGCTGAAATAAATTTCATGAAATGTGTATATTGATAAAGTAATAATATGAGTTCATCAGTTCATTGTTCAAAATTATTCCTAATCAAAGAGTATTTAGAACAATCAAAAAGAAAGTCAACTTCGTCTTCTATTTGATTGGATCCACGAAAAGGGCAATTCCTGTCTGTGGGAGTTTGATTGTATCTACCAGGTTGTATCATTTGGTTGTGGTTACTTATTCATAATTTTACTAATTTCCTTCGCTCAGCTGTTCCTCCCGTCAAGTGTATAGGTAAATTAGAAGTGGTATGATCGCTTTTGACCTAAAAAATTAGCGAGCTGTGATTCGACCCCGCTTGGGGGATTCCAAGACAGTCATGGATTCTGGATTCTCCGCTGTGGAATCCAGCCAGATTCCAGGTAGTTCCGAATTCTTTGTCAGTCAGGAACTTGGATTCTGGATCCAATCGACAGTGGGATTCAACAACCAAAAATTTCTTCTGGATGCGGATTTCCTCACGTGAGGCGATTTGTTTTTTTTTTTTTCATTCCGATCCAATGCTGAAGAGTTACGTGTCAAGCTCTTAACTTTCAACATTTATAAACTCACCGTTCTTAAAAGGTAATCCCGAAGAGATCCGTTCTCGCAAAACTCTGTGACCAAACACAGAAAATCACCGATCTGTTGAGATTTTAAGGATACCATTTGAAGGATATTTGAATGCTTCCTTAACAAAATACTGTACATGTAATGTTCCCTCCGCCATGACGAAATGGCCGCTGGTGGAAAAATCTTGACTGCAATGCTCTTTCCCTTGCAGCTACCTTTCCAAACTTCAGAAAATTTTCCTTGGGCGAGGACTTCCTCCAGTTCTATGGAGTTGTCTGAATCAAAGCTCTGCTTCACGCTTTCCTCGTCCAGTTCGCTTTCAGAAGTCTTGTTAAATAATTCTCTTTCGAAATGACCCTTTGTACACGCGCACAGGCAATGGATGAAGACAGCGATAGTAAATGGTAACAAAATCACGACCAAACTTATCCATGCAGCTGTGGGGACCTGAATGGTCGTTTCAGATTGTTCTGGAATTTTCTCTTTTGCTGCCGGGCTAATGGAAGAACCCTTGGTTGTATTCTCCGGGTGCATAACAACTTCTATAAAAAGAAATAAGTGAAAAAAGAAATTCGATTCCGGACAATCTCAATGTTCTTAATGTTTCATAAGAGCCGATGACACATTTAGAAAAATTTTAGGGGAGCAAAATTAATCCTTTTTCTTTATCAATTTAACCATATTCCAGTAGTTTAGGAGTATACTTCGCTTATAGTTCTCCTCTCCAAACATTAATCTTGGATCAAATATAATATAAGTTACACTCTCCTTTACTTTATTTATGGCAAGTGTAGCGCAAACATTCAGCACTGTGCGCTCAACCTGAAAAAATGAAAAACTACGCCGAAACGGAACGCCAAGGGCAAGCCCCATAGGCCTGATATTCATGCATACTCACGTTTTACTCGCGGGCGTTTAATCCCTTTCTTCGTTTCACTTTGAGAAGCCACCGGCTGCCTCCTGTTAGTAAACGGCTCCATCGGATTTCTATTGCAGTTGTTCCCTTGGCACAAGCATGTTCTGGTTCCATTTAAAATTTCTGCATTGCATTTAGCATCATACTGACTGGAGTTTGAGAAAGGCGGGCGACGGAAACAGCTAGTGAACATAATAAACTTGTTTCGTCTCCAGTTCCAGGTAGCGAGGCAGAGATCATCCTTGTTTCTGCAGAGTGATGTTCGTCGACAGTTGCTTTTGCAAACGCCGGTTTTAAAGTCGCATTTTGCAAGAGATTTTCCACAGGAAGTACATGATCGGCGTTCGCCCTGTGTAACAACTATGCCTGAAATAAACAACATATTCGGCATGCGCAGTTTAGCNGAGGCAGAGATCATCCTTGTTTCTGCAGAGTGATGTTCGTCGACAGTTGCTTTTGCAAACGCCGGTTTTAAAGTCGCATTTTGCAAGAGATTTTCCACAGGAAGTACATGATCGGCGTTCGCCCTGTGTAACAACTATGCCTGAAATAAACAACATATTCGGCATGCGCAGTTTAGCAAAATAGTCAGCCTCTGGATAGCGACATTAGGGCCATTTATACGAGGAAAAATAAGACTCGTTTTACATAGGACGCGTTTTAAATAAGACGCGAACTTTCCGTATAAACGCACATTTCATCTAAAATAAGACGCGGCTTAGCTAAGACGCGTCTTATTTTAGAACAGCCCATAACACCTGTTCTTAGATAAGACGCGTCTTAGCTAAGACGAGAAAAACTTCGTATAAATGACCTTCGCGTCTTAAATAAGATGCGAACGCATAGTACGCATGCGTTAATTTTTGGCACGCCACGTTGGATTGCCGTTGCTACGGGCAACATTCACATGAAAACGAGTCAAGAACAGAATTAAGACGCGAACCATTTATACGAGCTGTTCTCGTCTTAGATAAGACATTCTCGTATAAATGGTACAGTTCGCGTCTTATGTAAGGCGCGTCTTATTTTTCCTCGTATAAATGGCCCTTTTCTTTTAATTAAAGTTTCTCTGCTGAACCTTAAAATATAGATGTCCATCTGAACTAAAGGGGCGTAAATTTTAAAACCTGGAAATATAGAAGAGTAGAAACTTCAACTGTTCATGGGAATTAAGAAGCAAAACGTAGTTCCATTTTCAGAAAGACAAGGGGAACCTATTCAACTACAAGACAAATCAGGAACATGCACCCAACTGTCGAATTTTTCCAGATACATCGTAAGTGTCTCAAATGATTCTCTCGAGGCTTTAGAAGCCTTTTTGGTTAATTTGGAGGTGCCTTAAAAACTGTTGATCCTTTCAAATGTCTTGGGGATAAATTTGGTCATCTCGAAAGTTTTAGGTGGCTTACTTTCATCTCATCCGAAACAGTAGTGTTTGTTACCCTAGTTGGGTTCGGTCGAAAATTCTAGGGCATGGCGTAGTCGCACTTTCATTAGAAAATCATGGTCTAGAGGGGACATTTTTTTTTTAAACAAGATGCGCATAATAAAATTTGAAAAGCACAACTTCTGAAAAACTTCTCGTAGGTAGGTTTGTAGAAAAAGTCCGAAAATCGTAAACGAAGGCTTCGGTTATCCAGACATTTTGTCTTACTCGAGCTTTAGAAATATCAAGGAAATATTTGCTCCTAGTCGAACGATCATTTTAGAAGAAAAAAAGTCGTTGAGTGTCCCTGAAGATAGTCTATCTGTGAGCGTGTGTCAAAGTGTATCACATGGTCCTGTCAGTTTAAACAGGAGATAATTTTACTCTACAAACGCAACAACTTAAAATAGCCGAGAAAAACTTACCTAGTGTCAACAGGATTCCAAGTAGTGCGAACTTTCCAGTTAAAGAAATATTCGCCTTTCCCCTTATTTTCATATTCCTGATAAGTACTACGCACAAAACGGTATAATACTTTAGAGGTTGTGTCGAAAAGTCAGTAAATATCATACATTAAAGGGATAAAATTGCACGTTTTGTCATTAAAAACACCTTGTTTGATCTTTTCATGGACTAAAGTTATTATTTTCCTTCTTTACGCAATACAATAGGAACAATGACAGAACGCGTGGATGTATAATTGAGTACTGACTTGTGTAACTAATTCGCGTTTGGGCACTAATAAATGACACAACAATCGCACAGAATTAGTTTACTTATTTCTTAATAACAGATTCCTAAATTTTTCAGTTTCATCTTTTACTTGAATGCGATGAAGAAATGCACAATAACAAACGGTCGTTTTCAGGTGAAGAGGTCGTTTTCGCAGGGCATAAAGCCGATCTTGTGCTATTTACGAAAGTTGCTGTGTTCAAATGAGAACAAAGAAATTCTGTTTAACACGTGGTGGTTTTTATAGTTTCTGATAGTTTAGTTTAAGTACTCAAAATAAAAAAGCAAGGAAGTCGCGGCTGAACAAATGCTAACTTTTACATTGGCAAAATTTCAATTTTCCCCTCATGTTAGCAAAGAGGGTTTGTTTTGTCTAAACCTAATGCCTAATTTTAGGCGGGTCAACGTTTTGACAATCACCGGAGCGGTGGAAGAAGAGGCTTCTTTTCCTAGTACAGTGGATTGAACCTCGATATAACGAGTTCAGAGCCAAGGGACTGATAAAATGTGTTCGCTATGCAAGGTTTCGTTATATCTTGGTTCTTTTCCATACATTTTACTATTACTAGGGTAAAGAAAATCGTTTGTTTGGTNCTCAAAATAAAAAAGCAAGGAAGTCGCGGCTGAACAAATGCTAACTTTTACATTGGCAAAATTTCAATTTTCCCCTCATGTTAGCAAAGAGGGTTTGTTTTGTCTAAACCTAATGCCTAATTTTAGGCGGGTCAACGTTTTGACAATCACCGGAGCGGTGGAAGAAGAGGCTTCTTTTCCTAGTACAGTGGATTGAACCTCGATATAACGAGTTCAGAGCCAAGGGACTGATAAAATGTGTTCGCTATGCAAGGTTTCGTTATATCTTGGTTCTTTTCCATACATTTTACTATTACTAGGGTAAAGAAAATCGTTTGTTTGGTACCGAGGACTTCGTTGTATAGAGGTTACTTTTTTCGAGGATCCACTGTATCATCTTGAAACCTTTCTTCGGTCTTCCTTCAAACGATAATTAATGACAAGTTTTCTAAACATATAGAACTTGTTCATTGACGCTGACTCTAGGGATTGTATTAACAACCAATCAACCGTCTTTATGAACTGAATGAGCATTTCGTTTGTGAAACATTTCATAAAGAGGTTTGTCCCTGAGCCATCTAGCTTCATAAAAAAAACACAAATAACTTGGTGTAGCTTTGATAAACATTGTACATGTGCAGTTATAATAAGCATTTTTGTATTAACTTGACGTTTCGTATGCTTCAACGTATACAGTCGAACCTCCATGTGCGACCACCTCCCATAAGCGAACGCCAATCCAATGCAAAACACCAAAACTTTCCCAGTCAAAGCGCCTTACAATTGAAACCTCCAGTAAACGACCACCTACTGAAAGCGACCGTAACCACTTTTTGGGTCTGAAAGTTTAATGATTTTCCATTGTTTTTAACCTCTTGTAAGCGACCACTTGACGCATTCTCTAATCTCTATGTTCGCTGTGTGCACTATGCTACTTAGAATGTACGAAAAACTTTAGTCAGGACAACACGGAAATACACATGGCGTAACTTAGAAATTGCATGCGATAAATCATCTTCCATAAAGTAGATGTACCCAGACCTCTTCTTGGAAGAGGCACCCTGTGGTTCGATTCTTGTAAGCGACCACCTCCCGTAAGCGACCACTAACTGTTTGCATTTTCAAAAGTGACTGTTATGGCAACGACGAAACTATGTCTACAAAATAGGCGAATAACACTTCTGTTTTGTCTCTCATTTGGGTGTCAGGCGACTGAGTGCTAAATTGTATAACGCAGTACTAGTTCGAGGTCAACTTTCTATTATCAAATCCGGCCAATTGCTTGGCTTGAATGTTCTCTCTCTTTTTTTCAGAACTTTTTTCACTGAACTCCATACCGTCTTATTCTAGAAATAAACTGAATTTTAACCAGCCTAACACTGAACAGCCAACACTTCGCGAAGTCACCACTCGGTTTTCCGCGAAATGACGTCTGAGAAAAAAAAGGTCTATTAAAAAACTGGAACCAACTAATAATTAAAAATACTGTCTACTGACTACTCTAAAAATCATACGAACACTAATTAAAAAATGTTCGCATCCCTTGCATTAACACTAAAATCATCTAAAAAGTCAGCATTCTTGTGAAAAGAGGTTCTAAACCCTCGAACACGCGTGGACTGATCTTAGAATTTCAAAAAATGTGCGTGTCCTAAGCCAAGATATGGCACGGGCGTAAGACTCGCCGTTTTTTTCGGGAAGGTTTGTCCGCTAGGTTGCTCAGGAAAAGCTCGTGCGTGCCAAAAACCACCCCCGGGAGTTAAACGATCCCATTTCCACGTCAATAACTCTTTGTTGGTACTT